TTGTGTGTCTATATACATATATATATATATATGAATATTTTTGGAATAAAATATATGGAATTCTTGTTTTGATAGAATGTCAAGAATACTTGCATTTTATTTAAGTGGCTCTTAGATAAATACTTTAGAAAAAAGTTCACATCCTAAACTTTTTTACTCAATTCATAAGCCTATTCACATAACTACTTTTTTCACATTTAAGTACTTGACTATCTTACAAATGCATTCTATTTAGTGAGTCCTTAAATTATGAGCACAATTGCATTTTATTGTCAAAATAATTTTGCAATCAGAATTAGCCAAGAACGGTATGATTTATCTATATAGTCCTCAACAGAATTACCCTTTAAGACATTTCAGTCTTCTCTCGGCGGGTAGCAGGGAGATGATATATAGCAGATTTTTGAGACACCGTAGTGACACCAATAATGAGAATTAAATAAAGGCAGAATTTATGTATGTATGTATGTATGTATTTGCAGTACTGGGAATTAAATCTAATGTCTTTACACTGAGCTATATCTCCAGCCCTTTTTGTTTGTTTGTTTGTTTAATCTTGAGACAGGATATTGCTAAGTCACAATGTTACACAGGCTAGAACTGAACTTGTGATCTTCCTGCCTCAGCTTCCCAGAGTCCTAGGACTACAGATGTGCAGCTCCATGCCCAGCTTCGTACCAGTGGAAATTAATGAGCCAAACCAATGGAGATGACTTATCTGAATTTCTGGGGCCATTAACTGAAAGCAGTCCCTGATTTATTTTTAAAGAAGAGGAGTTTGAGCTTGTTATCCATCAGTAGTTATTGTATCTCAAATTTTTAGTAAATATTTCTAAATGAGACATGTTTTGTTTGGGCACAAATTACATCTTTAACATTACTGTGGCTGAAAAATCAGTGTGCACAAAATATATATTTGCTTATAAATATTTCACAGTTTCTTGTAAGGGAGATTACTGAGTTTCTTTTTCTCTTTTCTTTTCTTTCTTGTCTTGTCTTTAATGAGGATTGAACTCAGAGCCTCCACACTGTGGTATATTCCTAGTCCTTTTTATTTATTTATTTTTAATTTTAAAATGTTTATTTATTCTTTCATTCACTCATTCATTCGAGGTACTGGGGATTGAATCCAGAGTTTTTACATTGAGCTACATCTTCAGCTCTTTTTATTGATTTTTGAGACAGGGTCTCACTAGGTTGCTAATTTCCCCAGGCTGTGCTTGAATTTGTGATTCTCCTGTTTCAGCCTCCCAAAGTGCTGGGTTTACAGGTGTGTGCCACCAGGCCCAGCTGAGGATTACTAATTTTATGTCTGTTATGTTCGTCTATTTTTTTATTTTTTATTTTCTTATAGATGACTCAAGTTACCTGGCTATTTTGAAGTCCACAAACACTTCTAGTTTCAGTAGGATTTTTAAAATAAGGAATCTTCAGGAAAAAAATCTCGGTTCTTGATATGCATTGTTCTCTCTTGTTGCAGGAGGATACAGACCATAATTATTACATATCTCGGATATATGGTCCATCTGATACTGCCAGCCGGGATTTGTGGGTGAACATTGACCAAATGGAGAAAGACAAAGTGAAGATTCACGGAATATTGTCCAATACTCATCGGCAAGCTGCAGTAAGTGCTATGGAAACTTTGTTCCATGAATTGGCACGTATCCTTTCTGTGTGATCAGTTCTGGAGTATATTCAGTTCTGTAATTATAGTGTGCATTAATAACTGCATATCATTCATTAAAAATTAGAGAATTGTGCTGATAAACCACATTAATAGAACCAATTTTCTTATTCTATCTGATGAGTTACATATTTGATTCAAACAGAGTTTCATCTTGGATTATTCTCAGTTGTGTAACCCTTGAAACAGCTTTACAAATTATTTTCTTTGTTATCTCCCATTTGGTGTAGAATTAACGCTCTTGAGCTTGGAACAGATTTCACCAAAAACATGTGTAATTCATATAACATATGTAGACCAAATTCTGATCTTACATAAAAATATTCAATGTAGCCGGGAATTTAGCTCAGTGGTTCCATGGCCTGCTTTGCAAGCACAAGGACCCGAGTTCGATCCCCATTACAAAAAAAAAAAAAAAACAACAACAACAACAAAAAATGGACATAAAGACACCAAAGTACCAAACTGATATTTTAAGCCTGTTTCATTACTTAGTGGCTGTGTTTTCTTGAATAAGTGATTGAGCTAGTCTGAGACATTGTCTCAGCATCGCTCATAGGGCAATGAGGGGAAGGTTTGTACTGACCACACGTAACCCTGTAAGGTCACTGACATGTTGTCCTGCATGCCAGTTTGAATGTGTAAGGAATTGGCTCTTTCAGTCTGCACAGTAAACTAATGGTTTAGACATTAGTAACATCCAGGTACTGCACATGAGAGCGTTCGGTCTGGGAAACGTCAGAGACCCTCCCTGCACCCTCGTCTATTGCCCTAGAGGATCGAGCAGTGCTCCACGTGTGTGTTCCGCTTTATCACACCTTGATCTCAGAACGTGCCTGGCTTTACTTGATGTTAAATGCCACCTTCAACATTTTAAAATGTACTTTTCCTGGTATGGGTAACGGCCGTGATGCTCTTGTCAGTAAAGCCATGCCATTGTCTAGTCAGTGTGACGTAAAGGGAAAGTAAAACAGACTTAACCTCTCAATGCTGTTGTTGTTACTGATGCAAAGATAGGGCTAGGAGAGTCCATGATTGAAATTATTTAGAGAAGCATTGATTATTAATTTGATAAAAGTTTTATATACAAAAATTGGCAGTGCCTTCATTGTTCACACACACACACACACACACACACAAGTCCCTTTATTAGGGTATAAACTTGAGACAGTTAAACATAATTAATGACAGTTCACCATGAGGAGACTTTGAATTTTGAGTGTAGAGTACATATTTTTCTGTCTTTGAGAAGAAAACAAAGTAGCTTTTTCTTCTTACTGAACTCCTTCATCTCATTCTTTTTTTCCACATCCAGGCAATTCCAGCCAAGTTGACAGATTGAGAAATGAGTCACTATAAGGATTTACCGCTAATCTTCCAAAGAAGAGAAAATGAGGAAAGTTAGAGTAGGACAATGTCTCTCTGGAATTTATAGTGCCTGACAGTCTTCCCATTATATCAGCGCCTACTTGGATAAAATACACTTCATGGAAGTTTGAGTGTGGCTGTCTCCACATGGAGGCTCCAAGTCTGTAATGGCTGCTGTCAGCCATTATGTGTCATGTTGAGCCATTAAACTGTTAGCTGATCTCTTCTCCCACACTTGTCCACCCATCCTCATGTGTTTTCTGTTGTCTCCCAAAGGTGAAGCAGTGTCTGTATCCTGAACATGCCTGTTTTTCTCATAGGAATAAGGTTTAGTTGATTGTCTGGAGACTTCAGCTGTGTGATAGACTTACAAGAATTAAGATGCTGTAGAGGATCCACTTTTTCTTATTGTTAGTGTGAGAGTGACACTGTTGCTTCCAGCACCTGAGGCAGCTGGAAATGTAAATTGAAGGACTTGAACGTCAGCCATAAGTGTGTGATGCTACCTGAATTGAGTTTTAAATACATGTAATTGTTAGCCCCCTCTCTTTAGCTATTCTTTCCATTGTTTTGTGCTTTTCCATGAGAATTTAGGTTAGATTTTTAGAGGTGGAAATAGATACTCCATCTACTTTGTTGTCACTACCAACAGAAACACCACACACACACACACACACACACACACACACACACACACCCCACTGCCTGCGCACTCAGGCATACGTATGCACACACACAGGCACAGACATCACTGTATTAACAGCAGGCTTGATGATACTGCCTAGTATTTTTTTTTTTTCAGAAAAATCTGCCACTTAAACATCTTTACTTACATACATCTCCTATCTTGAAATTCACAAATGTATATACTACAGTATTTTTTTAGGTTTCCTTAAACTACATTTTTTTAAAAGTATAATTTGACCTGAGCATTCTGAACTGTGCGGAGTCATCCATAGTTGGTTATTTCCTTAGTTGGCCTCCATACCCCTTCCGTCCTGCTGGCTTCTCCCACCCATTTCCTTGCGCCTTCCTCAAAATCATATCAGGTGGTTAGAGATTAGGGGATTGTAAGACTACAGCAGTACTCTGGTGAAGGGCTTGACAACACCCATGTGTGTACTCTTGGGCACGCACACACCCCACATCCACCACCCCACAGCTACTCTTCTTTTTTGATGTTACCGAGAGGCGTAAGCACAAGGGAAACTGGCAAATGGAAAATGTGGTTCCGCTGTATTGATTAGCTTGGCTCCTGTCCTAATAGACATCATTCTCAATACAGAGATCCACAGTAATTTGGCTGGGAACATGATTTAAATGTAAGCCCTGAGGGAGAAAAGGTGAGTTTCTTACATCTTGCCCCTCACCAAAGGATGAGAATTGCATGCTGAAGGGTGTGCATTCCAACAACAAATGAGAAGAAGCAAAGCAAGGCCCAGCCTTGAAAGACCCGAGGCGGGTAGTAATCCTGCTCTGAGTTAAAAAAGGAGGTTAAATTGAGAAAGTAAGCAGATCGCTTCCCCAGAAGACTCAATTTCCCACTCCGCTTTCCTGCTGCCTCAGAACGGGTGACAGGAAGAGACGGGAGAGTATCTTACCTGGGTACGTGATTCTGTGAAGAAAAACCTCACCTCTGCTACAACTACCTGAAAACGTGGTCTGGACAGTGTCTTAGAATCTTAGATGACTACTGCAGAAAGGAGAAGAGGTGGAAATCAAGGACGAATTTTCTCCTACTCTGTCATCCCCAATAAGATCCGATCATTTCAAAGTGGAGTGGAACTTAGAAGTCGCTTCATTCCCGTGTCTGACCTGCCAAAGTATATTGACCTCTCTTTCTCTCCTCTTTTACAGTCCAAACCATAACCCTTAGTATTTATGTTGTACTCATCCATCCTGTGATCTGATTGCATGTGCTTTTACATCTCTCCATTCCCCCTCTTGTTTAAGCAACATTTCCCAAGTCATTGTGATAGAAAAAGCAGGTGCTAAAACCTAGTGTTGTAGCTGACAAATTGAAGCAAGATATATGGCTTCCTAAATAAAGGGAAGTGGAAAGCTACCATACGGCAAGCAATAAGGTACTTTATATGAAAATTATAGTTATTTGAGTATTTTGTCCTTTATTGAATGTCACATAGGTCTCGGGTTGCAAATCCAACAGTTTGTGACCATAAACCTAGAAATCAGCCCAGACCTTTTTTTTGTTGTTGTTCTATGTGGACATTTCATAGTCCACATTTCTGTGATAGTTTTTTTCTGTATTTTTTATTCATATTATTTAACTTATTGCTGGGCACAAATGTTGTTTAAATGGCCAGAGTTATGAAGTCCTCCGAAACTACAGAAGACATTCTGATTCTGACTCCCAGGAGATATCTTTGGCCGAGTTGGCGAATATTAGAAATCCCAAGACCTTGCTGCCCACTCTTACTTGCTTGGGTTCTGTCCCCTTTGCGGATCCACTTTGTAACTTGGAAGAAAGGTGTAGAAATGTCTCTCTTAGCTTCCCTTCTGCCTCATTGCTCACTTGAGAATAAAAATGAAATCATTTTGAAAAAATATGAAAGGACACTGAAAACCTTAAAAGAATTGAGGAATGTAAACATTAGGTACAGCAAATGTGTATTCCCACCCCCACAAAAAAATAGGAGAGGGATCAAGGGATAGAGGGAGGACCAAGAAAGGAAAAAAGGGATGAAAAAAATGTATTTTGTGCATGTTTCAGCTTCCCACAAGGAATTAAACATTATATACTATAAACATGTACTGATAACTAAACTAAACAAAAATGAGATTTTTTTTTTACAACCCTGTTATTTGAAGTCCCTAATTCTTACCATAAAAACTGTATATCAAAGAAAAACCAGAGACTGACAATCATTAAAGTGGTAAAAGCAGATTTTATTCCAGTTGTCCCAGTAGGGGGAAGAGAACTTAATATAGAAGTGGGCTCAATTCTGAATGGGCACATTGGCATTTTTTAGCCAAGGAGCCAGTGTATAGCCAAATACCAACAGGAAGGATGGGGAGGAAAGGAAATTCAGGCTGAACTGACGTAATAGGATTCTTGCTGCAGGAAGACCTGGGTGGTCACACACTTCCTGGAAACCCAGTCAGATATTAAAGGATTGAGGCACTGGGGGTGCAGATTTCTTGCTAAACTGATGTAACAGGTAGCAGGTTTTTGTGGGTTTTGTTGGTGGTAGTTTTTTTTTTTAATATAAAACTAGATTTGATACATTTAGGGATACAGTACAGTTACATTCATTGTTGGGATCATGTACCTCTACATGGCAAGTCTTGATTCTCATTTTTTTCCCCTTACCTCTGCCCTCCCTTCACCCCCTCCTCCCCTCCCCATCTACAAACACTTTATTTTCATCTTTTCATTCTCTCACATTTTTTTCTTTTCCCTTTTTGTTCTTCCCCTACGTATCACACCTTCCCTACACCTTTAGCTCCTTTCCTCCCATTTCTAAATGTCAGTAATCTTATTAGAATCTTATGCATTGTTGCAGAATATTCACACCAGGGAAACTATTTGGTATTTA